ATCTGTTCAATCCAACTGCTAGCCTGTTAGAAATATAAAATATGGGGTAAGAAGTGTTCAGGGTATAAAAGCGGTAAGCCATTTTAAAGAAACTGAAAACTAAAGACACTAGGGGAAACAAACTGGTTATTCAACAGCAACAAAAATGGTTAAAAAGATTTTTACAATATATTTAATAACTAACTTTTAAATTAAAATGCCCTATTACATTTTGTCATGGTAAGCGGTGAATTTTTAGCAAACATGATTTTTTTAAAAGGCAAAGTTAAACATTTTTTTCAAAGTAAATACCAAATAACACAAAAGTCTAAACTGGATATAGTTGCATAAAATATGATTCCGCAAAACAGATAAAAGTTCTATTTAGATTTCAATTCTGTAACTAATTTCTCATTCAAAAAAGTTTTCATGTGACATATTAAAAATAATTTCATTATCAAAAAATAACTAAGAAAAACAGGAATGCATTTTTATGTTTCTGTACATTCTGATAACTAGCATCCCCCTCCAAAAACTATTCACTGGTATTATCATTCAGTGTTTCATCTCTCTCTAAATAGTTTACATGCTTACGAATGTTATGTGTACGACAGATGCTCTACCATCTTTTCGTGGTCAGTCTCAGAATAGAATGAAGCAATACGCAGCAGTAAATTATATAACACTGTCCTATCAGACAAAGCTACAAAGACAAGTGGGAGCAGTTTTAAGATTAAAGAGATAAGACCATATCACCCTTGGTCAACAGTGGACTATATTATATTGCTTTTTAAGTCTTTAAATTACAGCCCTTATTCTCAGATAGTGAAACTCCACGCTCAAGAGATTACTGAATGTTTACACAGTGCTTTATCATCTTCCCTGGTTGAAAATAAAACAGTCTAATAAATATTTTCCTCTGGTGGTCATTACCCTGCAAGAGATATAAGCATCCACCAAAAAAGCAGTTCTAAGTATGAATACAGACTACTCACTAACCTCAAAACAATGGAAAACCAGAAAAAATACTCAACTACTTAGAAGAAAAAATTTAAACAATGTTAAAGAAGAAAATACGGAATACCATCACAAAGATTTTTTTTTTTTTTTTTTTTTTTTTTGCGGTACGCGGGCTTCTCACTGCTGTGGCCTCTCCCGTTGTGGAGCACAGGCTCCGGATGCGCAGGCTCAGCGGCCATGGCTCACGGGCCCAGCCGCTCCGCGGCATGTGGGATCTTCCTGGACCGGGGCACGAACCCACGTCCCCTGCATCAGCAGGCGGACTCTCAACTGCTGCGCCACCAGGGAAGCCCCAAAGATTTTTTTTTTTTTAAATGATGTTAAATCAGATAGAAAAACAACATAAGCGGAAATGCACCTTTCCTCACATTTATTTCCTTATCCAGCTGGACAGAGATTTTCCACCTAAATTAGAAGACATTTAAAACAGGGCCTAAAATGAGTAATAAGCATAACACAACATCCTATATTTGTGGCAATGATAGTACTGAGAGAAAACCTGGACTTAAACTTAATTCGGCTCAACTCAACCAAAAATGCCTTCTGTGTCCTAAGCACTCTAAAGCTCAGAGATACCAAGATGAGTAGAACGTGGTCCTTGCCTTGAGGACTGCTCTGTCCACTGGGGAAGAAGGAAGCAAACTATTATTATATGATACAGTCAGGGCTATAACTAACGTGTGTACCAAGTGTCTAAAGCACCTGGAAACACAAAAAGGTGCCCAATAATTCTGCCCCAGGAATGCAGGCTATGGCGAGCACAGAGTAGGGGTGGCATGTGAACTGGGTCTTACAAAATAAACTAGGCAGGAAAAGAGACTGACAGTAACAAACATTCCAGACCAAGGAAATGGTCACTTTAGACTTAAATATCAATACTGATCCTTCTGATGTCACTAGAAGAAAAGTCCTGTTTCAAGTTGCCACAAACATAAAAATCACAAGGCTCACAGGCTTTTTTGGTCTTATGATACTGCCCTTTAGAAAGAAAAAGACTTGGCCAGTAATTTATTCAGTTGAATAACCAGTAAGAAACTATGAAAGATTTTAAATGCTTTCATTACAAACAATAGCAAAACTGGCTGTAAAAGCAGAGGGAAATGATCCAGTAAAATGGAGAATTTTAAATAAGTCTACAGAAAAAGACCTGGAAAACATTTAACAATTAAATGCCATTATTCCATAGGCATTCTTTAGAAAGGCTCTTGAGTATTGGATAGGATAAACTATTTGGTAAACTCAGGTGTGTGAGATTCTTTATTCATTGGCTATATGTATTTGAACACCTGAAGATCAAAAACAGGCTGTTCTGAAAGATAATGGCCTCTTCCTTCCTCTATATTTTTGGTCTGCTTTAGTCTGTGGTAGGCTGTACCCTAAGAAGTGTGATAAACTTAATTGCAAAGGCTACAACCATTTTATTCAAAAAAAAGTTAATCTGCCTTCTGATATGGACTTTGGATATATAAACAGTAATTCAAACCACATGGCTTAATCCAAAATCTAGGCCCAGGTTTCCCTGTGACTATTCCTTAAAGGCTTAAGCCTGTAGCATGATCATCTGAGCTTCAGCTCAGATGATTGGGTTTAAGTATCCTTCCACTGAAAGGTAAGCTACTAGCCAGCACCCTAGAAGAGTTGACGTACTGCTCTTGAGGGGAGCAACTTATCCCTAAAGCTGTTAGGACTGGACAGGTTCCTGTGTACAAGAAATGAACACAAACCAAACAGAATGACACATAATTCATTTAAAGCCATCTATTCAGAGGACTCCTGGGACCTTACCTCCTTCCATGTAATTCCACCAGCTTGGTTCATCTCTGTCAATCTTAGAGGCTAAGAGAAAGGAGAGAGTAGCCCTAGAAATGGAGACAACCACATCCATCTCTATCTACATATGCTTCAATTCACTGTCCCAATACACAGGTGACCTAGAGATTTCCTGAGTGTTTTTCATGAAACACATCAATTCTTGTCCTCAAAGAGGTACACTGAACAAACACTTAAACTGGCACCGTTTCAAAAACATTTCATTATGCACAAGGACCAGAAAGTCCAACCCTCATTTTATAGCTGAGGAAATGAAGTACAGAAAAGTGTTCTGTCCAATGAGTTAGAGGTGCTGTCAGGTTCCATCCAGCTACCATAGTTAATTTTAAGCTCTTAGAATCCAAAGAGTCGGCTCTTTAACAGCCTGGGGAATTTTGCAATCTACTTTTCTTCAGTCTGCACTTGAAGCCTTATCCAAACATTGTGGGCGGGGCGAAGGGAGAAAGACCAGGCAAATGATCAAATCAGGAAAAACAGGGAGAAGAGAATGACTGGAGACTGGCCAAAATTAGCCTATCTACAACACCTCCTGTCTCAAGATTATCAAAGAACCTTATCTGGGTGCAGTAGTTTCTCTTCCATTCTGAATAGAGGAAATAAAATGTAATAGCAAGAAAATACATCCAAAACCTAGAAAAAAAAATAAGTTCTCCTTCACTGCTCTAGCAAATCAACGAGCAGGCCTTCCTAGGCAAGCAGTGGGATGGGCCAGAAAGTGTTCTGGGGGCCATTTCTTTTTTTTTTTTTTTTTTTTTTTTTTTTTTTTCTTACGGGGG